AACAATCAGTTTATGTATTTGCTGATGTGTATTGACGTGTTTTCGAAATATGCATGGGTTTGTTCCACTGAAAGATAAGAAAACAGTGACACTCATAAAGGCCTTTGAGCAGATTTTAAAACAAGGTAAAAAAACCTTGTAAACTTGAAACCGATGCTGGAACAGAATTTACCAATAGACTGTTTCAATTTTATCTCAAGGAACAAGACATTCACTTCTTTACTATAAATAATGAAACAAAAGCCTCTATAGTTGAACATTTTAATCCTACTCTTAAAACTAAAATGTGCTGCTATTTTACCCATAATGGAACATTCAAGTATATCTTGATATATAAAAATTTATTCAGTTCCTACAATAGGTCATATCACCCGAGTATTAAAATGAGACCGATAGACGTTAATCATTCTAATCGGAAAACTCTCTACAAACCACCCATAAAACCTCTGTACAAACCACACATGAAAGTGAAATTTTGATTCCATGTGGGTGATCAAGTTCGAATCAATAAACCAAAACACATCAAGTTAAAAAAGAATATATACAATTTACAATTCAGAAGAGATAGGAAAGAAACTCACCAATTACATTAGAAAAGTAAAATTCAGTCTTTCGGTGATTCTGTCACACACAAATGCCTTTCAGAAAGGTTCCATTGAATATCCTTTGAAGTATATAGAGTGCAAACCAGGGAAACTTACAAGAACCTATTGATAATGTATTTTTTGGTCTAGTACCAACATGTCTTTTTATATGATGTGTTGATAATGGTGCATTTAATGGATATTAGAAGAAAAATCCACACAATTTCAAACATTCCAGCATCAATTTCGTGGCAATTAATGTGGATGGAAAACAAATTCCTGCTCGACCTTTTAAATCTTATTTTGATGCTGACTTGTATGCACAAAGCTACAAAAGATTATTTAGTGAAATTGAAAACAATTTCAAGATCAAGGAATTGATATAAAATATTACAAATATTCGTAAAAGATATTCACTCTTTGTATTTGATCTTACACTCGACCTATCAACTGGTGATTCCCACTTTAAACTGGTGAAACATGGAAATCTATGAATAGATATGTGATTTGGTAAAGCTTTACTTAACACTATAAATGTTCTCGCCCATGCAGAATTTCAGTCCATATTAAAAACTAACCAGTCCACTGATATTTACGAATCAATGAGATTTATTCTCTACTCTCACAAGATCTGTGTACAAGAAAGAAACTTGAAGGTGTGTCAGCTACCTAACTGTGCAGAAAAACAACTGTACATCGTCAACTTGGATCCAAGTCATAAACCTGGAAGTCTGTGTCTACTTTGGTGGAAATTGGAAAGGAGAATATTTTGATCCCCTCGGTCTGCCTCTACAATCTCACAGCATAAGAACATTCATCTAAAAGAACTGTCGAAGTGGACTTACAATAAGAAGGTTGGGAAAGGACCTTATTTGACAGCCTGTGGACAATAATGTATATATATCATGGATATTACAGATGTAGACAGGTGTTCAAACAAAAATTAATGTCCAGATTTGGATCTAATAAATGATATATTTGTTCATTCTTTTGTTACAGATCGATTTATTTAATATAACAACACATTTACTGGATATATCTTTTTATATATATCAAAATTCTTATTGTAAGAAGAATAAATGCTTTTAAAATTAAATATATTGTCACAGTGGTTTACGTTGTTTAGAAGATTGTAACCTTCTTGTATCATAATAATCTTGTTTGTAGATGAAACAAAATAAATATGAAAATATATCACTATCGTACTGATACTGAACACAGTTATTTAGTCTCATACATTTTACGTTCCCTGGTGTTGTTGTCGTAATTCTATTATGTCGCCAAGCAACGTGAACAAAGCAACATACTCCTGGTGTTGTTGACGGGTCAATGCTCTCGGCAAGTTATACAAGATTCTCGAAATTGGGTGAAGGTCATGTTTATTTACTTCCGCCGCTGGAGTGGCATCTCTAATGCATTTGTGTGGCATCCAACGTATTTCTTTTACCGAAATATTTTATTGTTCCAAAATGGCTCTCTAGGAGAGTGCTGAAATATCGACATAATTTGCTGCAATTTATCAGTTTATCTTCTGATTAAGAGAAGATACTTTAAAGGTATCCATTAAAGGTATGAAAAGCTATTGAGAATATTCTAGTGTGTTGAGTGTCTTAAGTGTGCAAAAATGTTCACTATGATAGTGTGGCTCAATGGTTTCCAGTTTGCATCTGAAATAAGTAGTTTTAGGCCTGTTCTTGGTTACCATACGATAGCTTTAGGACTGATTTCGTTAAAGAAAGAGTGTTGAAGGCAGTTTCAGTTTATCAGAAGTTAATTTACTGTACAACGTAACTGTTTCTGTTACCGAGAAGGTGTATCCGAAATTGGTTTATGGCCGAAATTATATATAGTAATTCATTTGTAATACGAGACATTTTCTTTTATTTTTCGTATTTTCTCTCATCAAATGATGGTTACCACTCTTAAATAAACACCATTTCTTTTAAATAGTTTTTTTTTATTGTTAATTTTTTGCTTGGTACGGTTGGGGGTCGTTTAATCATTACCACTGTTTATGGAGTCGATCAATTATGATACAGTCTAACGAGTATTGCATTCTATAAGTCAAACTAATGGTATAATCTTTCGGTCTCTCACCAGATGTTAGTTGGTTTGTTTGTAATTAAGCATAAAGCTACACAATAGGCTATCTGTGCTCTGCCCACCACGGGTATCGAAACGCGGATTCTACCGCTGTGCCACTGGGGGTACAGATGTTAGTAGCCACAGTTGTTTTCCCTTTCAAGTGCCACTCTTTATAGACTCCAATGACAAATGTATTTGAGATGATGGTAAAAAATGATTCTACTTAACTGTTTCTGCTAAATGAGCACTAACTATCATGCCCCTTTGAAAGTTTCAGAAATCCTTTCTCTCGCCTAATCAAGATATTATTATATTTTTACATTTTCATGACTGAAACAATAATTTAATTTATCACGCTATCATTCTATTTTGCGTCTGCAAATAGATGGAGTATTCTTCAATTCTATGTGTGCAGTCCTAATAAAGTAAACAGTTATTGTATTTAAATTGGAAAATACTGTGTTTGTTTCTTTGTTTTTACTTAGGACACTGTATAACATTTTTAAACGAGATTTTAACTTTGTGTTTTATTGCTTAATATTTGTTGTCTCAATTGCTCAGATTTTTGCTCAGAGACTATCGAATTTTCAGTTAGTTATAAGGGAATCCGTAAATCATTGTTACTCGTGCAACAAAGTTGGAAGTAATAAAACTAATATGTGATCAAAACAAAATGATATATTTTAAAATTAAAACTGCGATGCTGCACAACAGCAACAGTTTTTAATACAGAAATAGAAACGTTCAAGATAAAAACCTTTAAAACGATTGGATAAAAGAAAATCCTGTCAAAATGATAAAGATATTTATATAGAAAGTATTTGTGTTTCTTCAATTTTATAAGAAAAAATATGACACCATTTATCATTGCAATCCATTTGAATTTATTAAGGTCATAACCACGTTTTAGTAATCATGCCTGATCTCTCTGATTAAAGACAAAAATACAAAATGCTGTCTTTTGAAAATGTGCAACATTAAATTGCTTTACATTTCTTTCCTAAACCGGAGCTCAAAGCTTAAACACTTAAAATAAAAGAGGATTAATTTATCTCCATCTTGAAAATGTTGCTGAAAAACAACAGAAACATTCTAAAAATCATTATATAAAATCATGTTGCCACATCCTCATGCAACACAGAAAGAGTGAAGAAACATTCTTCATTGTTGATTGATTTCAATCCAGTCGAGGTACTCAGTGATTCTTGTGTACACAGTAGGGATCTGTTTTCCACAGCTATACCCGAAGGACAATAAGCCAACTACACTAAATTTATCTTCCTCAAGAAGTACTAATGGGCTACCTGAAAAACCCTGTAAAAAAATTGTGTTAGGATGTTTGATAAAAATTGTAAAACAAGTTTAATATTACCACTAACCAAACAAACAACAATTCTAATTAAAATGTTGTTCTTTTAGATTAGTTATATTAATCGAGTCAGTATATCAAGGATTTAATCGAAAACACACTACAATAGCGACATTTTTAGACGTCAAACAAGCCTTCGACTCCGCCGGAACGACGCCCTAAGGTTCAAACTGTTTAAATATAATGTACCCGCTCCCATAATTAAATGGTTATCTAGTTTTTCTCACAAACAGAACCGCCAAAGTTAAAGTGAATAACGCCATATCCGATTCATTTCCGCTAAAAGCAGGAGTACCACAATGTTCAGTTGTAAGCCCGATACTGTATATTTTATTTGTAAATGACATACCATTCCCAGATTTAGCATACAGTCTAGCTTCTCAATACGCAGACGATATCGCGGTCTGGAGTGCATCACGCGATCCACTTGTTGCATCACCAGAGTACAAGAAATCTTAAACATCATTACTCACTGGTGCAATAAGTGAAGAGTAGTTCTTAACACTCTCAAGACACAAACCTTAGCTTTTCGCAGAAGTATAGGAAAACACAACAAAAAATCCAGAAAATTAAACTCGCAATATATAACACCTTATCACATTAAGTAAACGACAAAATTATTAGGAATGACCCTAAACTCGCGCATGAGCTATGAGACTTTAATAACATTCTAAAAAACACCAGTAAAGGACTGGCATACTTACGTCGTATCGGAGGCACGAACAAATGCTGCAACAGTCTTTCTATCTTGAAAATATATAAAGCGTACATAAGACCCCTATACAATATAGATGCTCTGTCATTTGCAACATGTCTAACACTATGTACAACAAGATACGCCAGCAACAACACACAGCATTCAGACTACCGATATACACCCCTCATGAATACGTCAGCAATCTCACCAATTTACCACTATTAAAGATCAAATTCACAAATTTGCTGAAAAATATTACAATAAAGCAAGCACTCGCAATAATCAGACTAGAACCTTCCATACACTAGTAGCCACGCCTGCTACATGGAGAAAGCACTCGCAATAGTCAGACTAGAACCTTCCATACACTAGCAACCACGCCTGCTACATGGCAAACTTACAACTAGAACCTTCCATACACTAGTAGCCACGCCTGCTACATGGAGCAAGCACTTGCAATAATCAGACTAGAACCTTCCAGACACTAGCAGCTACGCCTGCTACACGGCAAATTTACATACTAGAACCTTCCATACACTAGTAGCCACGCCTGCTACATGGAGAAAGCACTCGCAATAGTCAGACTAGAACCTTCCATACACTAGCAGCCACGCCTGCTACATGGCAAACGTACATACTAGAGCCTTCCATACACTAGTAGCCACGCCTGCTACATGGAGAAAGCACTCGCAATAGTCAGACTAGAACCTTCCATACACTAGCAGCCACGCCTGTTACATGGAGCAAGCACTTGCAATAATCAGACTAGAACCTTCCAGACACTAGCAGCCACGCCTGCTACACGGCAAATTTACATATCACCAGTAAATTACAAAAATCACAAGTCAACATACAGTAGTACAGTGCTTAAAAATATACGTCCATAACTTTTTTCTTTTCAGCCTCATATCTCGAGCACGGTCAGATAGATTATTCGGCGCCTGATCCGTGAAAGCGGGTTTTCTCCGGATACTCCGATTTCCCTCTGCATCAAATTGTTTAAGGTCATTGGATAATTTTATCCTTGCCCCCTGAAAAGGGCTATCAATCTTGTAACTCCAATAGACTCATTTCACCTATAATTTTACAAAGTCTTATTTGCTTTAAATCAATCAGTCTTTTTGGAAGCTATTCAAATAGCATCTCGCTCTCTCATACTGCATCTCTCTGCTCCGCTCCTCGTCGATAGCCGTCACCGCCACGTGGATATACAAAAACGCGTGCTTCTACTGCGGCTATCATTCGACGGTCTCTTTACGGCGACTTCCGGAGGACGTGTTTAAACAACTTACAGCGCTTTACAACAAAACAGCACGTTTAAACAAAATTATGCCAAGAGGCTTCTTCATCCGTTTAGTTTAAACCGCGTGGGGCTAAGAGAAAAACCACACAACAACAACCTTCTCGAAATCTTCCTCAAAGACACACACGCTTATACCCTCACACCCTACAACTTTTACGGTTCCTCCCCTTTCGACCTAACTACTATGATGACGGTTTCTTTCCAAGCCTGCAAAGTCCCGACCGCAATTATCTCCTGAGAAATTAATATAATGTTTCTCACCCTCGCCTCTTTTCCCACCAGCGTTCTTATTCGTTCCGAATTTATTTTTCTTAGGGGCACGGTCCAGGCATAATTTTTCGGCGCCTGAACAGTGAAAGTGGGTTTTCCGGGGCACTCCCGTCTCCCCCAGCAAAATTCTCCGGGGGCGAAGAGAAGCTAAAACACCGTTAATTCCTGCCACGTATCGATTATTGTTTTGTCAATCGAGTCACGTTGCTAATTTCCTTTTTTAACTTAATTCCCAATATTAAGTTCACATTCGAACTCGAGGAAAAGTATTCTTTACCGTTCCTAGACGTCAAGATTCCAAACAAGGTTAACACGTTTCGTTTATCATAAAAGAACTTTTACTACACCAATCTCAATAATTCTATCCCCAACTTCTTAGAACGTAATCTGGTCATATCATTGTTAAACAGAATTTTTAATCTTTGTTCGAATTATTTTATTTTACACGAAGAAATTACCCATCTACACAAATGCACATTAAATAATGGCTATCTCGTTGATTTGCTAACGAAGATTACACGGTCAATCCAATATTTCGGTAGGACACTATTCAGAATCTCACGCACACGAAACGCACACAGATCCTATGTCGTTGAACATATATATTACGTCGTCTAATGATCCTCCCTTCACACACAGATCCTATGTCGTTGAACATATATATTACGTCGTCTAATGATCCTCCCTTCACACACAGATCCTATGTCGTTGAACATATATATTACGTCGTCTAATGATCCTCCCTTCACACACAGATCCTATGTCGTTGAACATATATATATTAGGTCGTCTAATGGCACTCCCTTCACACACAGATCCTATGTCGTTGAACATATATATTAGGTCGTCTAATGATCCTCTCTTCACACACAGATCCTATGTCGTTGAACACATATATTAGGTCGTCTAATGATCCTCTCTTCACACACAGATCCTATGTCGTTGAACACATATATTAGGTCGTCTAATGGTACTCCCTTCACACACAGATCCAATGTCGTTGAACTGCTTATGACATAGTTTAATAATATTGTTCGATAGTGCCGGTGCATATTAAGACTTTGAATTTCAAATACCACAGAGCGGTCCATGTTATTTGTTAAAAAACAAAATCATCATTTTAGCTACTGACAAAGTTTAAAACAAAACTTGAGGGTTTAAGTCAACATGTAAGGCAGTCATTAGCTTTCTTCGTTTAAACGTTATTTCGTTTTGAATTGCGTGTAACAAGTTGCCTTCTACCAGTATTTGGAGTGCGTAGCATAAATAAAAATACAAACATCTACATCAGATCAACAGAGCTTTTAGAATTAGGAATTAAAATCTCTAGAAATATTGCTAACTATCAATTACAAAGCAATTAGAAATTGTGCTACGTTCATGTTTTCTTCCTCTTTTATGTGCGCGTTTATCCAATTTCCTCCTTATAACATTTGTATGTCTCTTTTCTTAATTGTATTAAAACATATTGACAATACACTTAAAGAACAATGATTGCAACTTCTACTTACGGCACAAGCATCAGTTCCTCCTTCAGGACGACCAGCACAAAGCATTGTTTTGTTAATAGTCACAGCTAATCTTTCATATTTGTCTTGACAATCCTTTTGATTCCAGATGGGTACTTGAAGGACCAACATATTTTCGCTAGTTTCTCCCTCTAAAAACAATTTTTTTTTTTATTTTCACCCACTATTAATTGAAGGACTGAAATCAAAATCTACTACCGTATTAAATGATGCCCCGAACGTTAATTTTTTTCAGTCTTAGACCCCTTTAATAATCACATTAATTGTGGTAAAATGTTTGCGTTATTTTTCTTAGTTTAAAGTAACTTCAATTATAAAGTATACAATTTGTATTTTCTTGGATAGTTTCTATTTTATTGTGACGTCTACTTACAAATAGTTAAGATATTTATTACAAGATTAGCTATGATGAAAAACCTTACTGCAGTTATATTAATAAAACTAATACAGCTAAAGTAACAAGACTTGAAAAAGAGTTTCGTTTACTGAAACGAAATGTAACTACTCCGTCTAATTTATGTCAGTAGCATAACACAGCAGTATTTTTAAGTTTCTTTTTTTTTATAATATTTCATATTTTCCAGAAGTAAAACTGACTAAAGTATTATGAGTAACTAAGAGTAACAATTTATTCAAACTAATAATTATGTTTTTGTACGATATACGTATAAAATCTTAAAGCTAAAAAAATATATTTAATTATCCTAAGCAAGATCGCTTTTACAATTGTTTATAAATATATATATATATATATATATATATATATATATATAGTATAGTAAGTTTAGTTTAGTTACTTAGTTAGTTGTTATTTACTTTACTTACGTTAACGT